ATTAACATCTCTCCTATTGCATTTTTCCGGTTGAGGTAATCACTTGACTTATCTAATATGTTGATTAGCAGGGTTTATTATGCTTGCGAAGTTCTTTCGACGCTTCACTCGCCTATTCAAGCCAAACTAAGACTATATGTCTATAGAATCAAAATTGACAAGAATGCATGTATATTTCCTGCAAAAATAACCAGGTAAGACAAGTAGAATATGTCTATCCTAATCGCGAATCTATTCTCCGATGCCCTGATTCAAAAACTTACTCTACTCAATCTTATATGCGATCGATAGTTCCCGCTTTCGAGTTCAACTATAAATTCGTAGATAGTATTCCATTGTTAGCTACGCAATAGAATAATTAAGTGCAATATTGAATAGACAAACTAATATGTTAATTCAAGCAAAACAATCAAACGTCAAACTACAATAGTCAACAATGACCCATAACCCCAGAATGATGAGGTTCTTAGCCACTCATGGTCATAACAATAATCAAAATATTATTTTAAACATAGAAGCTAGAAATACTAGATGAAAGATGAAAGAATCGATGAATCCTGTGCTCCGTTAGTGTTTCTATGCCTTTGCCGCCTTCAAAATTGACCAACTTCTCAAAAAATAGGTTTAGAGCCCCTTTTATACATGTTGGAGACGTGTAGGGTTGAAACTACCAAGTCCTAACCAAATTAGGATGAATTTCGTCCTTGGGCGTCACGCTTTGCGCCTGGCGCGAATCTGGACAGTAATCTTTTTGGCTTGTTGTAAATGGTGTTTCGGTTGGCGCCTGGTGCAAACTTAGGCACCAATCTTTTGCCAATTTTGTGCTCTGCTTCCCTTGGCATTTTGGTTGGCACTTGGCGCGAGCCTGTGCACTAAAGTCATGGTTCCTCCAAATTCTGTCGTTTTTACTTCAATTTGCACGCAAACTTTTCAAATCACTTCCAATTGACTGCTACACATATAAATACCATTATTAAGCTCGAGTCACAAATATTCACACTAAAGATAACAAGATCGAGGCATAATGTAGGGCAATTACACGCAAAAATATAAATTTTTAGCCAAACATCAATTGTATAAATATTATATATCAGTCGGCTTTTTTTTATTTATGCTATTGAATGAGCGGCTTTTTAGGTTAATTCTTCTTTTCTTTTGTTAAGGTCCCCAGAAGAATGTGTTCTGTTTTTAAAACAAGTCTTTTAGTTTGAAAAGGCTACTTTTACAAGGAAAAATGTATGTAATTCCATTTGAAGAACTGTCGACAAGTTTTGATTTTTCCTGCACGAGTAAAAGAATAAAATAAATACTCCTATTTGGTTTGGACATCCAGTTTGACACAAATACATGTAATCAGTGGAGTTTATAAACTAATTAAAAACTATCTTTGAATAAAATAAAATTCATAAGGCATCTTCGGGTGATATGATTAAGTCCAAAGAAATGACTTTTGTGAGAATTTAAAGTAAATGATTAATTAAAACTTAAGAATAAAATTAAAAAAAAATTAAAAGCAAGGAGGGATATAGTTTGCTCGGGGAGATATAGTTTATCTTATATGTGTGTGTGCATGTGTTGGTAAGTGTCTGTGTGTTTTAAGTTTATTTTACACATACATATGATCAAAGCTATTATGTATATATATGAAGTGTATGTAATGACAAGTTATGATTTTTTTCTTCATCTATATTGAATTCTATTCTTGATCAAAGCAATATTGAAGAAGGGAAGAAAGCAACTTGAAGAAGAAGAATTCAACATGCAAGAGCTACTTGAACATATTGTCAATTTCTATTACCCTAATGGAGCAATGAAGAATGTAGATGTCTTACTAGATCCATGTGATGGTTCTATCAGAAGATTCTCTCGTGTAAAGGGCGATAGGAGAGAATTAAGACGGATCTTGAGTAACTTGTTGCATAATGCAGTTAAATTCACCCCAGAGGGACACATTTCTCTTCGAGCTTGGGCTCGAAAAACTGGTTTTGACCAAAGCTCCAATCTTGCCGCTCCAAGTACAAATAGTTATGTTGGTTGTATGTCATGCTTTCTTCAACAGAATGATGAATCAGTTTTTGTAGAATTGCAAGTACTGAACAAAGTCCAGCAAGATCCCAACTGTGTGGAATTCATATTTGAGGTGGATGATACTATTACGCGATTGCAGGAGTTTAACTAACTCGAGGATCGCAATGTTGATTCAAGAGAAGCTTGAGAATTCAACTATGAAAGAGTGCGGAAAGGAAGACAGGAGGAGAAGGAGGAGGAGGAGGAGCAGAAGAAGAAGAAGAAGAAGAAGAAGAAGAAGAAGAAGAAGATATCTTTTCATATATGTAACTTTGTTGATTACAAATGTATTTATATCTACTACATTGTATGAAATGATTGAGCTTCTAATAGATCTCTTCAACTAACAGATTCTTCCAATTAACTCTTGTAACAACTTTAACTAACTCTAACTACTTTTTGAATTCCCAACTAACTGCCTTAACTACCTTTTGAATTCCTTAACTAACCACCCATCTAAAATTCGTGTATCATTACTCCCCTCCAATAGATGATCCTTGCCCACAAGGATCAAAGAATGGAAATCTGGTCTGCAAAACAGTAACAATTTTCCAAGTAGCAGCATCAGCAGGCAATCCTTGCCATTTGACTAGAACCTGTGCAACAGCTTTATTACATCTTTTGATCATCCTCCTTTGCAAAATCAACTCAGGATCAGGGCAGTAAGGGCTTGCCAAATCAACAACTGGAGGATAAGATATCTGGGATGGCACTTCATGGCACTTTTTCAGCAAAGACACATGGACCGTAGGATGAATCTTCACCCCAGCAGGTAGTAATAAAGTATAAGCCACTGGACCAATTCTTCTAATAATCTGAAATGGACCATAAAATTTTGCAGCTAATTTGTGTGATGAATGATTCGAAATATTCACTTGTTTGTAATGTTGGACCTTCAAATAAATCCAGTCTCCAACTTCAAATTATCTATCACTTCTATGAGAATCTACCTGTTGTTTCATCCTAAGCTGGGCTCTTCTAAGATGGTGTTTAAGCAGCTGTAGCTTGAGCTCTCTATTGATCAATATGTTGTCTACTTCAGCAGAAACTGATTCTCCTGGTATATATGGCAGATGCAGAGGAGGTGGTCTGTCATATAGTGCCTCATAAGGTGTAGTCTGAATGACAGAATGAAAGTAAGTGTTATACCAATATTCAGCCATTGGTAAATAGGAGAACCAATTGTTAGCATCTTCACTACAGTAGCATCTCAAATAAGTTTCAAGGCTTCTACTCAAGACCTTAGTCTGCCCATTAGATTGAGGGTGATAGGTTGAGGAGGTGTGCAGATGTACTCCTTGGAGTATGAATAGCTCCTGCCAAAATGAACTCAAGAAATCAGCATCTCTATCACTTGTAATAGCATCAGGCATCCCATGTAGCTTAACTACTGTATCAAGAAAAACCTTAGCAACTGACTGAGCAGTGTAAGGATGTTTGAGTGGAATGAAATGGGCATATTTGCTTAGCCTGTCTACCACTACTAAGATTACTTCATATCCATTGGACTTGAGTAACCCATCAATGTAATCCATGCTGATTTGTGACCAAACTGCATCTGGTATAGGGAGTGGTTGCAATAGACCTGGATAAGCAGCCAAGTCTGATTTGTTCCTTTGACATATATCACATTTTTGGACAAATTCTTTTATGCCCTTCCTCATATTCTTTCACTAAAACAATGTCACCAACCTCTTTAATGTAGCTTCAACCCCTGAGTGACCCCTTGAGGACTAGCATGCCAAGTTGTCATGATTGCATTTCTTAGTTCTGGTACTTTCCCAATCACCAGTTTGCCCTTCCTCCTTAGTTGGCCTTGAGTCCAAGTGAATTGTTTATGAGCAGCAGGGTTATGTTGAAGTTCTGCAATAAGTTGCTGAAGCTCAGAATCTAAATATCAAATGGATACTATGTTTTGGAACAAATCACTGTCATGAGGTGATAGCATTAGTGTTAATAGTTCAGCACCAGTGACCCTTGAAAGAGCATCAGCTACCTTATTCTCCACTCCCTTCTTGTATTCTATAGAGTAGTCAAAAGGCATCAACTTTGTTAACCATAGCAGTTGAGAGTTAGTGTGCAATTTCTGCTCCAAAAGGAACTTCAGAGCTTTCTGGTCAGTCCTTATAATAAACTTCTGTCCTAGGAGGTATTGTGACCATTTATAAACTGCATGAACAACAGCTAATAACTCCCTATCATAGACAGATAAGGCAGCATGTCTAGGTGACAGAGCTTTGCTAATAAAGGCTATTGGATGCCCTTCTTGCATGAGTACTGGCCCTATACCATAACCACTTGCATCAGTCTCCACAATGAATGTCTTGCTGGCTTCAGGTAAAGCCAAGACAGGTGCCTGAGTAAGTGCCTCTTTTAATTCAGCAAAAGCTGCATCAGCAACTGATGATCATTTGAAATTGTTCTTCTTGGTCAATTCAGTTAATGGTTTGCAAATCACACCAAAGTTCTTGATAAACCTCCTGTAGTATCCAGCTAGGCCTAGAAATCCTCTTAACTGCTTGAGAGTAGTTGGTGTAGGCCAATTCCTCACAGCTTCTATTTTGTGAGGATCAGTAGAGACTCCTTCAGCTGTAATAAAGTGGCCAAGATACTCAATTTTGTGGACTCCAAAGAAGCATTTGCTCCTCTTAGAAAATAATTGATGCTTCATCATCTCCACAATGACAGACCTTAGATGAATCAAATGATCTTCCATAGTTTTGATGTAGATTAGTATATCATCAAAGAAAACTAGCACATGTTTCCTAAGAAACTTGTGAAAGACAGAGTTCATTAATCTCTGAAAAGTTGTAGGAGCATTTGAGAGGCCAAAAGGCATAACCAGGTATTCAAAATGACCTGAGTGAGTTCTGAAGGCAATTTTGGGCACATCCTCCTTTGCATCCTAAGTTGATGGTAGCCCGACCTTAGGTCTATTTTAGAAAAGATTCTAGATCCCCTAACTCATCTAACAAGTCTTCCACAATTGGAATAGGAAACTTTTTCTTCACAATATGCAGATCCATATAATCCACACAAAGTCTCCATGTGCCATCCTTTTTTCCTACCAAGACCACTGGTGATGCAAAGGGACTACAGGTAGGTTGTATGATTCCTTGATTAAGCATTTGTTGTACTAAGCCCTCAATGATATCCTTTTTCACAGAAGGATACCTATTGGGTCTTTTATTTACAGGTTCAGTACCCTTATACAACACAATTCTATGGTCAAATACACCTCTAGAAGGAGGTAGTTCAGTAGGTTCCTCAAACAATTTAGAATACTCATACAACAAGTGAGTTAATCTAATGTCTGTTTTAGGTTCTTCCTTAGCCTTAAGTGCATGCCACTGTTCTCCAACACTCTCCATAGGCACTACTTGAATCATGCATAACTGAGAAGTGTTACCTGTATGTTTGGCTATTTTTCTAGCTTCTTGAACCCTGACTTGATTGCCAGCTCCTCTCAAAAGATGCTTTCTCCCTTTGTACCAAAACTCTATGGTTAGCTTCCTGAAATTCATCGTTATATCTCCCAGAGTTAGCAACCATTGCACTCCTAATACTACCCCACAAGAGCCTAGTGGTAGTAATAGGAATTCTGCTGAAAACTCAGCACCTTGCAACAACCATGTGATGGTATACATTATGTCCACCATCATATTTCCATTAGCAGCAGCTACCATTTGAGGAGTAGTTGATCTAATCTTACATCCCAAATGATGAACCAAATCAGGATCTATGAAATTATGTGAACTCCCAGTATCAATCAGTATGTTCAAGGCGTTTTTAGCATGATACCTAGTCACCTTCAGAGTTCTGTAGCCTAAAGAACCATTTAGAGAATGGATAGAAATCTCCATCTGCTCTATGGGTTGAGCTAGTTCCAGTTGATTGAACTCTTCCTCTTTGTAGTATTAGTTCACCCTTAACCTCTGTGTCATGTCCATCCTCAGTTCCCTCTAGTTCCAATACATATATCTGCTTGGCATTCTTACACTTATGCCCAGGTACATACTTCTCATTACAGAAGTCGCATAACCCCTTTGCCCATTTTTCATTCATTTCTTCTATACATAATGTTCTTTTATTGAATCCTTTAGAAGTCCCAAAATTACCTTTGCTAGGAGTTGGTAACAATGGCCTGCTATTATTCCTTTGATCCATGATCTTTCTAGGAGTATTGCTTGATGCATAATTGACTAATGGAGGTTGTCTAAGAGCAGCTAAGTAAGCCTCCTGCATCCTAGCAGTTTTATACACCTGGGATAAGGTAGTGGGATTTGTGAGTTTTACAGCAATATTCAACTCATGTTTCAGTCCACCAAGAAAACAACTGATGGCATTCTCTTGTGACAGATTAACTCTTGTGAGATTTCTTTCAAAAATAGCTTGATACTCCTTGACAGTACCAGTTTGCCTAATTTTCTTAATTTCCTCCATAGGATCATCAAAGTCGACTCCAGATCTTTCCACCATTGCCATCACATACTCAGTCCATGTAGCTGGTTGGAGATATTGTCTATACCTCATAAATGCTAGATGCCACTGTATATCTTCACCTTCTAACTGCATTGCAGCCACCTCCACTCTTTCTTGAGTAGGAACCTTCTCCATGGAAAAGAATTGCTCAATTTTGAATAGCCCTTCGGACCTTCACCATTAAACCTCAAGAATTCCATCCTCGACCATATCGAGAAATTGGAATTGTGATGGTTATAACTGGCAGTGCTCTTTTCTCTTGGTAACCTTTCATCAGATGGTTCACCTTCATGTTGTATAGGAGTCGTATCCCTTCGATTTCCTCCAGAATAAGTCAACTATTCTTTGAGTTCTAGAACAGTCTGATCCAGACGTCTCAGATTGGAGACCTCTCCCACTAAAGCCCCAACATCTGCGACTAACTTCTGCATCAATTCACGTAGATCAGATGGTTCTTCAATTGAGTTATCACTTGATCGAGTACCTTTTGCCATGATTCCAAAGATTGGAAGCTCTTATACCAATGTTACGCGATTGAAGGAGTTTAACTAACTCGAGGATCGCAATGTTGATTCAGGAGAAGCTCGAGAATTCAATTATGAAGAAGAATAGGAAATGGATATCTTTTTATATATGTAACTTTGTTGATTACAAATGTATTTATATCTACTACATTGTATGAAATGATAGAGCTTCTAATAGATTTCTTCAACTAACAGATTCTTCCAACCAACTCTTGTAATAACTTTAACTAACTCTAACTACTTTTTGAATTTTCAACTAACTGCCTTAATTACCTTTTGAATTGCTTAACTAACCACCCTTCTAATATTCGTGTATCAGATACAAGGAAAGGAATTCCTAAAGAGAAACAGAAATCAGTTTTTGAGAATTATGTTCAAGTGAATGAGACAGCTCCTAATTATGGACAAGCAGGCACTGGCTTGGGGCTTGGCATTATTCAGTCTTTGGTACGTGTCTTTTACCATACACTATCCAGAATGAGCCAGTGTGTTCTGCACTTCATATATGTGATACATAGACACACACACACACTAAAGGTTAAAGAATTTTCCTGTTAATTTCTTGTTTTATCAGTGGTATTGAAGTCTCTTTTTAGTACTCATATTTCTCCAAGAGACTTTCATTATACTGAAGGAGAGCCTTGGCGTAACCGGTAAAGTTGTTGTCATGTGACCAGGAGGTAACGGGTTCGAGCAGTGGAAACAACCTCTTGCAAAAATGAAGGGTAAGGTTGCGTACAACAGACCCTTGTGGTCTGACCCTTTCCCAGACCCTGCGCATAGATATAACGTCCTTAAGTTATGTGTGAACTAACAACAAAGGTATGCATGAAAACACAAGAATTTGTTCAGCTACATGTAAACAAGTGTCTGCTAAAGCAGAAAGCATTGCATTTATAATTTAATGAACTTATTACCTCAGAAAGAATTTTAATGAACTTATTACCTCATATCTCATATTTCTTTCTTGCTTTTTAGGTTCGCTTAATGGGAGGTGAAATAGGTATCATTGACAAGGATATTGGCGAAAAGGGCACTTGCTTTCGATTCAAAATTTTCCTTATAGCATGTCAGTCTCATGTTCAAGAACATCAAGCAATCAATGTCAATTTTTTAAGAGGAGAAGATCCGGAGTGGCATTTTGGAGGCTATATATCTAGTGACTCCTATTATCATTCAGCACCAAGTAGTAATAGTATCAGTAGCCATCAGAAACCAGAAGGATCCGATGTCATTCTTTTCATTAGGGAGGAGGAATGAAGCAAAAGTTCTTCATAGATTCATGATGAACATAGGCTTAAAGGTACATGTTGTGAAGCGGCTCGAGCAGTTTTCTCCTACTCTCAAGAAGGTGAAAAGGAAATTAATCAACTTTCTGTCATACAACTCATCATCTTCAGGGAAATCAAAGGAAATTCCCCTCAGTGCTTTAGATGGAACATATGATGATTATATCCCATCCTTTCAGATGAGGGGCAGAGAACTTTATTCTAAGAGTACAGTTATAAGATTCATCTTGATCATAATTGACACAAGTGCTGGACCATTTCGAGAAATAAGTCGTGCTATGGCTGAATTTCGAAAGGACTTCCCGAAGAATATCTCCCTACAAGTTGTTTGGCTCGATAAACCAGGCATAGATGAGGATAAGCTACCTTCAACAGATGTAGTCATGGCAAAACCACTACATGGTTCTTGTTTATATCTTGTCCTCGGATTTCTACCAGAGTTTGGAGATACAATTTTACCAACCATTACATAACAAGTAAAGGATGAAAGAACTTCAAGAATCAAGATTCAGAATACTCCAATGAGGTCTAGAAGTCTGCGCCTAGAACGAGAAATACAAGATGTTTCTGTTGATGTTAATGGAAGTTCTAGTAATAGATTACCTTTAGCGGGAAGGACAATCTTGGTAGTAGAGGATAATGAACTACTACTTAAGATTTGCAGAACCATGATTTCTCAGCTTGGTGCAAATAGTTACACATGTGAAAATGGTGAACAAGCTCTAGCTCATGTTTGTAAAGGCCTTAGAGATCAAAGCCAGATAGGACCATCCACTCCTTCACCACCAGTTGACTATATTCTCATGGATTGTGAGGTAAGATGTGGTTTGATATTAGGCTATATAGATGATATTTACACCTTAATATTTATCATGCTTTATTGTTGTTTTATAGGCGAATTGATAACAAAATGCTCTAATTGGTGTTCTTTTGCTTCGCAGGGAATAATCTAAGTGAGGAAGCACTACGGAGTATTTTGGAGTCAATAATGTGAAGAAAATGCCCAATCAAGAAGTACCCGAGCATAAAGAAGCAAAAATGGACTGAGGTGAAATCCACCGCGATCACGGTGGAACCGCAGCAGAACCGCGGCAGATCAATTACATGAGGCAGAATGTTCAACGTTCACCGCGGTCTTGCCGCGACCGCGGTGAACTGTTCAAATGCCAGAAAATTGGGGACCAAAGTGTAACTCGGGGAAAACTTGTTCCAAACCCTTATAAACTTTAGAAGCTCGCCCAAGACATAATTAAGCTTGTTTTTAGACTACTTTGGAGGCAAGAACAAGTGTGAGAAGATCAACCAAACATTAGAGTTTTTCTATCTCCTTTTAATTCTTGCAATTATTCATTATGAACAACTTTGTAGTTTTATCTTATTTTGTTATGAGTAGCTAAACAACTATCTAGGGTTGATGGAACCAATTGTTGGTTGAAGTTTTGACTCAACTTGTTATAATCGAGCCTGATTTATGATATGATTGTTCAACTACGTTTTGTATGGTGATTAATTGAATGGGACCTTGATTAATCGTGTCTAATTACCTCATATTGCTTGAGAAAGAATATTAGGTTAGACTGTTGTTGAACAACACCACTTTTGGGTAATTGAAGAGATTCATTACTTGAATTTTAAAAGTGGGTTTAGAGATAACGAAACTTTGGCGGGATAAATTAGAGCTGCACATATTGTCAGCTAGAGTAGTTCGAGAGAATGCTCTAGTAAATTATTGTAGTTGATCGAGAGATAATTACGATAACCCATAGCTCTTAATCCTCATAGAGTAGTACGGCGAGATTATAGCAAAAGAGTCAAGACCTAAACTAGCAATTGAGGAAATCACTGTCCTAGACCTCTTTATCATTGAATTATCTTTAATCTAGCATATTGTTATTTCCACTATTATTTGAAGTAGTTAAACAAGACCCAAGATTGATTGACAAAAATCTGCATCTAGAAATTGGTTGAGTTGATAATAGCATTGCTAAGAGTTTTAATAGATAGGTTAGTTCCCTGAGGATTCGACTCCTGACTTAAAACCGGATTATATTTGCAACGACCGCTTTGTCTTTTAGAAGGCATAGTTGGGCGTGATCAAATTTTGGCGTCGTTGCCGGGGAACTAACGGTGTTATTTATTACAACTTAGAAGTAGTGTTAGAATTGTCAGTTTAAATCAATTCTCGAAGGTGTTAAACAATCTTTTCATTGAAATTCTCACGTTTGAACTCTTGTGGAATTCAGGTGTATGCCTAGAAATTCTTCAAGGATTGGAGAATTGCTAGAAGGACTCTCAGACCCCGAGAAAACATTCAGGGCATTGAACCGTGCCAACAAGAGGATCCAACAATCACAACAACCACACCAGCTTGAATTTGACATGGGTGACGTAGAAAACATCAACGGAAACGTTGGGGATGCGCCAGACGCCCCAAACGTCAGAGTAGTGGCACCTCTTGTGCTAGAAGCTGCACTTTATGATTGGGCACAGCCTACAGCTGACAACCTGGCTACTGCCATAGCTGTGCCCCCAATTCAAGCGGAGACATTCCAGATCACCAACAACATGCTGCATCTTCTGCAGAATAAGGGATTGTTCTCCGGGTCACACATTGAAGACCCTCAGCAACACTTGAAAAATTTTCTGTCGATTTGTGTGACCCAAAGGCAGCCTAATGTGACCCCGGAAGCTATCAAGTTGTCACTGTTCCCGTTCTCTGTGACTGGGGAAGCTCAGACTTGGTTAAATTCGCTCCCTATTAATTCCATTGTCACCTGGGAGGAATTAGTCAAGTAGTTCCTGAATAAGTTCTACCCGCCCAATAAGACTGCAAGGCAGATTGATAAAATATTGCAGTACAAGCAGCAGCCGACTGAGACCTTGCAGGAAACTTGGGAAAGATTCAAAGGGATGCTAGTGAAGTGTCCTCACCATGGTATTCCAGACCAGATGCTCGGCCAGAGGTTCTACATGGGGTTAGCTGACAATCTAAAGGCCAATGTGGATGCTTCAGCTGGAGGTGCATTTTTGAGTAAGACATTCACCGAGTGCAAAGTCCTTCTTGACAAGATGTCCCAGAATTCGGGGTGGATGACTAGAGGTACAACACTGGCACCCATAGTGCATTCAGTTCCTCTTGACCCAAATAATTCGCATGCAGAGAACATAGCCACACTCATGACTCAAATGAGTATATTGACACAGAAGATTGATGAGATGGGTACAAAGCAGGTGCATATTGTTGACACAACAAATGGAGGACTATGTACACCCTGTGTTAATCAGTCTTATGTGTGTTCATGGAGTGGAGAAGGTGACAATCAAGGGGTAAGAGAAGATATGAATTTTGTCAACAACTTTGGGGATCAGAGACAAGGACGAGAGCAGTGGAGACCAGCACCAAATTAGCAATACAGACCAAACATGCCACAGCCTGGAGGTATGCAACCCCAAGGCCAAATGGTGCCAGTACCATATCAGAGACAACAGGGCTATCCACAACAAAATCAGCAACAGTTGACATATCAGCCACCTCCTCAGCAGCAAGATAATAACATAGTAGAGATCAGGGGTATGCTTCAGCAACTCATCAGGACAAACGGTAAGATGCAGGAAAAGTTGGCAGTGCATGATTCAGCTATAAAGAACATTGAAACTCAGTTAGGGCAGCTGTCTATGGCC